ACCATTGTTTGAACTTTGGGAGAGTGGGAAAAGAGAGATGATGAGAATCTTCTCAAGTTTCTGACCTAAGAAGTTAGGTGGGCTGCAGTGCAACATGCTCGGCCGAGGAAGACCATAGGATGCACGCGGGGACCAAAGGGAGGAGGGGAAGCGTTCGCTCTTGGACTTGGGAAGCCTGTGAGACTCCTGGTGGAAATGTCAGCGGCACAGTTGAATATATGTGAGTAGAGCTCAAAACAGAAGTATGAACTAGACATGTAAATTTAGGATTTTTGCTAAGTAGGCGAGAATTAATGAAATTATCCAGGAAAATAAAAAAGAGCACAAGGAAAGAGAAAGGAAAAGAGTGAAAAATGTCTAGGATTGAGATTTGAGCAACTCAACTATTTAAAGCTCAAAAGCTGAGAAGATGCTGGAGAGGTAAGACACAAACCAAGCAAGTACGGGGGGGGCACAGCAGCCAAAGGAACAATTTCAAGGAGAGGGTGGCCGGCCATGTTGGCTACCACAGGTTCCTGAGTTTGTCCATGAAGACCGGAGTGAAGGAGCGTTGACAGATCAGAGCCAAAGCTGCCCCACTAATAATATCACTCTCTGGCAGTGTCCTCTCCCCTGGGAAGGAGGGTCAGCGCGGTCCGGAGCGCGACGTGGAGCTCAGTAGCCAACTGGAGCTGCCCCGCAGGTGGAGGTGGCGGGAGGGTGATGTGTGTGTTTCACGCAGCCAACAACACTCCACAAGGATTTACCGAGAGCCAGTTCTCAGTTCAGTGTTCTCAGACCACTGTGCTGAGCTCTGAAGGCATTTTCTGCTATAGTTTTGAACCAGTGAACAGTAGCAAGTGGGTTTTGCAAACTCCTGTTGGAAGGCTCTGAAAGAGCCCCAAGGGCTTTCTCTGTTTCAGTCTTGAGAAAGTCATCAGCCTCCCCCAAAGACCTTCAAACCTAAAGGAAGGGAATGACATTCACACAGCGTACCCCTCTTCCCTGACAGTCCCTCCCTCATAAAACACGGGACTAAGGTGAGCCTCAGCTCGGGCTGCAGGCTCCTTCAGCTCAGGATTCAAGGCGTCACTGCAGCGCAGGAGGAGAGTAAGGGATGCAGCCTCTCAGCCAGGGAGGGTGAGGCGCAAAAGGCCAAGCCACCCAACCAGCCATTCACCGGGACAAAAACTATGCCCAGAACTAATCCTCCTGTCTGTGCCACCGTAACAGGTTCGCTCTCGGTTGCCTGTCTCCAAAAACTAGAAAAGTCATTTACCAGCTAAAACTGTAAGAATAAGACTTCCTATCTATCGTGGAAATGACTAAAATAATGCACACTTTTGGACAAAAGGAAGTTTCTAAGGAAAGTGCTAGAAACCCATTTCTAGGTTTTACTGCTAGAACGCCTTATTTCTGTCCAGAACTAATTCCTAAAATCTGTACAAGTAAAAGGAAAATACAGTCTTTCCAATTCAAGGAAAAAAAGAGGCACATTCGTTGTAAAGCAATTTACTTGTAGTCACTTGCTACTTAAAGATTCCTATCTTAATCTCCTCTGTAAAGTTAACCATCACTCTCTAATGCGCTAGCTTGGAAATCTGGATTTTTAAAAATACTTCCAGTTTTCTTAAAGCAAGCAATCCGTGCATTGCTATTTAAATAGCCCAATGGAGTGAAGGGGAAACAACCCTCCCAAGGCCCCCTGGGTGAGATGATTCAACAGGACATTTATAAGATTCCAATTACCAAAATGAACTCAGAAAGTAGTACCGTGTGCATGATTCACCCTGGCCAGAGCATTAAAAACCAGGCCTTCCTGAATTGTTCCTCCAAATTTGTTGTCTCAAGAGGGTTCAGCAATCTCCTGACTGCTTATTTAGTTGGTCCTGTAGCAACAAGGAAAGATATTTCCACCCCTAAATGGTATAAGAGGCATTCTCAAGCCAGCCCTACCCCCTTCCAAGGCTGACCTCCATCCTGCCTAAGGCTGAAAGAGGAAACGTAGCTGACAGCTACCATGTGTGGAGACCTTGCTTGTGGACAGGGCTTTCAGATGATAGGGATTTGGCTTCAGGGGCT